GTTGCAATAAGGATTGGATTAGGAGTTGAAAATAAATATTTACTAAATGCGGCGCAGCACATACAAATTAATTATTTGATAAATACTTAATATAATAATTAAATACACGAGATTATTATTATTATTATTATTATTTTTTTTTAATTGTACAAGTACATTTAATAATAGTCTACGTTGAGCTAGTTTATTGACTGCAATTTGTATAGAATCAACATTGATGTTCCTATGAATATTTTAAAGGGCTAACCATGTCAGACACCCTAGGCCCATATTGTTCCCTATAAGTATGTCTTKAGACGYTTCAACGTTGAGAAGTATCGTTCTGCACTTGCAGTGGATACAGGAAACGTAGACAACATTTTTACGAGATTAAAAATAAGAGGGAAAAATTGTTGTTCGCATTCTTCTAATGTTTCAACTTTCAAATACAGTTAAATCATCACTACTTTCTTTCCACTTCATAATATAATAATATATTAATATTATTTACCAATCACTGAATTTGCTTATTATTTTTTTTTAATTTTATTTATCTAAACACTGCGTTGAATACAAAAAATCCCTATTATTAGTATTACTGATAAGCAGGGCTCGGGACTTATAGCACTTGAAACCATTAAAATAAGTGCTTAAAAAAGCTCTCAAAAATATCATTATATTTACATTATATTACATTTACAAACTTAAATTTTTGCAAAAATATCTATCAAAAAACAAAAAAATTTTAACTATAAAATCAAACAAAATAAAAATAAATCTTTATCTTTATATTATACAGTAAAACCTGTGTAATATGGAAACCGTCGGGATCGGATATTTTTTCCATTTTAGACAGGTTTCCCATTTAATACAGGTTGTAAAAAAAATTTTTCCCGATASATCTTTATCAAATGTAATTTATTATTTATTATTTATTCATTTATTTCATATATTTTACATATTATTTATTATTGGATTTTACTCCAAAATTCATCCAATGTTTTTTGTTTTGTTATTTGACTTGCCATTTTCTTTTCTACTAAATTTTTCAAGTTGAGAATTGATTCAAGTTAATTTTCATTATTTTCATCCAATGCGAACATTTCTAATCGTTTTATTAGCGTTGGATTTTGGTGTTCTTTTCATTCGTCCATTTCCTAAAATTAAAAAATATACGTACATGTATAGAATTTTGAATTTTACATTTTTATAGTTAAGCTTATTGCATACCATTCATCCAATGTTCTTTTATTTCATTTTTTTGCTTTAATATATTATACACTTGACTTTTTCCACATTTGAAAAGTTCACAAATTTGTTTTACTGTTAATTTATCTTTTTCACTTGACTCAATTAGTTTAATTTTTTCATTTAGTGTTTAACATTTATTTTTGGACGTCATATTGAATATACCTACGTCTATACGCAGTCTACGTCAGAACACTACTACGACACTTATCGATAAAAAAAATGTATTGCAACGAAATAATCTATATAATTAATATAGATTATATTCATTGACTGATAATTTTAAAATAGTACATGTACATATTTCCATGATATACAGGTTTTCATGACAAAATATTGTTTCCATTTCCACGTTAAACAGGTTCCATCTTATTCAGGGAACGATGTATTTAAAACTACATTAGGTTTGCCGGCACCGTAACATTTTTCCATAAAAGTCAGGTTTCCACGTAATTCAGGTTCCATATTACACAGGTTTTACTGTAAAATAAATTTAACTTCACTTTCGATACTTTAAGGATTTTATAGATTTTCTGAAAAATAAAATGTAAACGATATTTATAATAGTTGAAAACACTATAAAAACATACAAATACTAGTCAAATAAGCAAAAATAAGAAATAAGAATTGTTTTGAAAAATCACTGAAACAAGCGAAAAAAGCACTTTCAAACTTCATAATTAAACGTATTATAACATGACATACACTTCCATAGCACTATGCTACATTTTAAGTCAATCTATAAAAATAAGCAAATGCTTTAAGTCTCGAGTCCTGCTTTAAAGTTATACAATTAATAACAACCAAAAAGCAAAGTCGGGACCGCCAAAATCTTAAATACGGTCCTAGTGCAAATACAATGTTTTTTGCAAAAATTAATTCAAATTTCAAACTAACTAATAATATTATTATTAAAAGCAATATTAATAACATAATAGGTTCAGTGTCGGCCTGGGATCTAAAGGGCCCATGATGCCTCTCAAAAATACCCCTTTAACTTTTTTGTTAACAGCTTTCACTGTAGTAAAAAATATTCAAAATGTTAACAATAATTCTATATTTATACAATATGTAACCACAAAATGTGATATGCATAAAAATTAATTAAATAACTTAACAGAATTACATTGTTGTATTGTTCAATTTATATTAGTAGTAATTTTAATAAATTTGATGAGTTAGTCACATTGTCAATCAATTTTTCTCGATCGATTTCTATATCTTTTTCTACAGCCATCATTAACGGACCTAGACTTTCTTGTTTTATAGTTGATCGTAATTTTGTTTTTATAATATTTAGTTTTGAAAAAATACAGGTCGGGGCCTCGGAGGCGATCGCTTCCTAGCCGCCTGAATAGGCCTAGCTGGGCTAGGCCAGGCCGACACTGAATAGATTGTCACAATATGATTTGTTCTTCGTAATTTGTATACAATGATATATAATTATCACTGAATTCAAATTTAACACGTCAAGCGCGGACGCAGGATAAAATCCTGACATCAAATCAAACATGATTCCTCATTGAATCTTCTGTTACTGACTAACGAAAAAGTCTATTGCCGTTATTTAATTTCTCTATTTATTACTTATTCAACTGTCAAAAATGTATTGCTGGTGTGGTGTTATGTTTAATGTATTACTTTTTTTATAGATAATTAGTTCAAAATAAGCAATTTTACTAAATATAATAATTATAACGTATAAGGTATACATTTTTTTTAATAATTAAGTAGTATTATATTGTTCAATACTATAAAGAATTTTAAAACGTCATGTATATATTAATAATATTTTAATATAAATGTATTGAATGTTGGTATCTCATAATTTACTTAACATTTAAATATTACATGCAAAATTAAATTTTCGTTTTTTGTCCATTAATTCAAAATTTTTAAATTTTTACTAAAAATATTTAAATAATTAAACTCAAATTATTAAAAGATTGGGAAAGTGGGTTTACCACTCTATTGTACAAATAGATATGTTTAGACTCCAGAAACACCAAGTAAACAAATTAATTACCTTGAAAAAAATATTCATTTATTTTTAAACTTAAATAATTTTATTGCTTTTTTTTCGTGATATCGAGGATGCTGCCGGAACTGCTAGCGCATTATGTTGACAAAATAATTTTATTACTGTAAATACTAAATAGTAAAAACAAACAAACTAATAACTTATGTTAGGTAAAGAGAACACTATTGTATGTATAAATTTAATATATACCTATATACCTTTTTAAATAATTTTACAAATAGAGTCTACTAACAGCTACCGTGTACACAAAATATAATTAGAAGTAAAAGGTACTGGTGTACAATCAATAACCAGTTATCAGCATAAATATAAATATATTATTATATTATATTATATATAAAACAAATAGGTTATACTAGTTTTTTTTTTTTTTTTTTTTTTTTTTCGTTAGTATCGAGAACCGGAGGAGGAACCATGGTGCCAATACTTCTCCTCCGGCCCCCATCGTTTATAACTAGTTTATTGACTGTAATTATTATTTATCCAAATAATATTTATTAGCATCACACAGTTTACCTATTATGTACAGACCACAATTAAAATAATTAAAATTACCAAATCAATACATTCTAAAAGTTAGAATATCAAATTGATAATACATATTAATAAAAGACATGACTACAAAATAATACTACTTTAAACATTCTTCATCTTAATATACTTAAGTAAAGAATAATTACAAATCAACAAAGTATAAGATAGTTAGATATGTAATATTATTAAACATTAACATATTTAAAAAATACCATTTTCAAATTCTGCTTATTGATTCTTCAATTAGAAATGTTCATTTTTTATACAACAAAAATTATATAAAGACTATTAAGTAATGTGTGATTTGTATGAATAAAAATAATTTTTATTTAACAAAAAGGATAGTAACTAGAATAAAATGTCATCTATTTATATTTAAAAATATCAACTTATAGGCCAAATGGCAGTTCACAATTGTTCAAGATAAAAATCAAATTCCTACTTACAATTATTTTAAAAAAAATAATACATATTAACCTTCATTACAGATAAACAAAATTACTATAATGTTAACATTTCCCAATTTTTATCTGAAACTAACTTTATTTTATTCCATAAGCATTCTGCAATTTCACTGTCAGTTTTTTCATCTGTATTAAACTCAAAATAAGCTAATTTTTTCGCAATTGTATTAAACGTATCTGTTGACATAAGTAAAAAATACTTGCATTATTAATTATATTCATTATTAAAGTAGATACTGTATTCAACATAATAAAAATCATAATAATCTAAAAAATATATATAAATTTATTCAAGCATAACTTTTAGACTAAAAAAGGAACATGACGTAGGAGTCATCGCCAAGATATAAAATTAAATCTGGTTTTTAATTTTAGAAACATTATGTTTGAGTTTGACATACATTTGTATAGGGCCCTTGAAATAATAAAGCAATTCTTATCACTTTTTTTCTCATATTTGTCAGAATTCCCAACATTGATTTTCACAATAAAGATAAAAAAGAACATAATATGACTTTATTTTGAAAATATTTAAAATAAAATAAGTGTCAATTTATTCAAAATTGTATGAAACATACTCAACTTTTTGATATTCAAATTACATGGAAATATTTATTTCAATAAATATCTATTCCCTAATTGTCTGTTACTAGTTTATACATTATAATTTATATGAATATACAATTTAAGTATACTTACATCCTTTTTGTGTAGTTGCATTTGCACCATTGGAATAATCAAAATATATCTTCAACATATTTTTATAAGTAATGAATGTTTTTCTAAAACAAAATTAAATCAATAAAAGTTCACTAAGTTTTATATAATAATATAAATTATCTTTACAAAAATATTGTATGCTCATTAATCACAAGAAAAATCAATTTTATAATTTAATCCAGATTTAAGTTTTTACATATCGTTGAAATTGAGTTCATGCAGTCTAACGAGAGTAAAAAATGTGGACAATTAATTCAATTTCAATACAGAGATCAAAGTAAAATTTTTTTTTTGCATATTATAGAATATTTAGCATATTTTGGAAATAATAAAAAAAAAAAAATACAAGTTTATTTTATTTTTTAAATTATTGATATCAATTTTAATATTATGGTACCTATAAAATATTTTACCAACCACGTTTAATTGTTTTAATATAATTTTAATGAAAAAAAAAACAGTGATAGTACTATTATATTGTTGTGCCGTTTTGTACTGGTTTACCTAACCTACCTGATAACAACAATGTATTTGGTAATCAGAAGTCAAAATATGCAATTGTGTATTTTTAAGTTTTTAAAATAAGGAAAATAAGAAAATTCATTATTATTAAACACATTTTCAAATAATTGAATATGGATGTTCTAACCGTACTGGTCCAAGACAGAAGACAATATTTTAGCTGTTACTATAATTACAATATTTTAACTGTATTATTAATAAATTATTAGTTGGACATTTTTGTGGAAATTATAAATCATATCACTATAAAATGTATAAGAAATTAATTCTATATCACATAATTGTTTAATTTTAACACAATAATAAACTTACTTGGTATTGGACAACATTTCTAGATCAGCAGTACTTAACTTCATTTTGTTATATTTTTTTAAGTCAAACTCTGTTKATTGTAGTATATTCTTCAGACCATCTACTTTATTCTTTAAGTCATGCTTTAACAAAATATTAATCATTTTAATGTGATTTTATATATTTATTTTCAAAGAAACAATATAAAAATATATATATATATAAGTGAAAATATTTTTGTATAATTAAATCATTCAATTAAAAACTTGAATAAAAAAATAACCAGGTATGAAAATTTTTTATGTATTCATATTGTACTATTAAATATATAAACAAAATGTGTCCATGATGTGTAACACCTTATAATATTCAGAAACCTTGTGAAATCACAATTTAATAAACAAAAATACTACTTCAAAATATAGATATTTAGGGTACACTGATTAATAACATACTGAAAATTCACTTCATTCAAATTTTATATGGGTATTGTTATCTTATAAACAAATAACATAAAATAATTCCAAGCTGCATTACAAGTACAATCTAATTTCCCAGCCATAATCAAAAATTCCTTATCAATTAATGACATTTGCTTAACATGCAATATGTAATTTAAATTTAAAATAAGAACATCACTTAATATATATGAAAATCTACTTCTGAGCATCCTCATAGACATTCCTATGACTTAAATATCTATCATAGTATTTACTTTGGCTGATCTTACAACATTTCTAAAGTAGTTTGTTGAAAATTTAAAAAAATTATATGTCCACTGATACTTTTAAATTTCACAATGTTTCAAAGCATAAAACATAAGCAAAAAAAGCAAGTTATAAAGTTAATAAAATCATGTTGTGTCTTTTTTTACTTTCATCTGCATTTGAAGAGCCAACTCCGACATAAGTTTGACACGTTCTCTTTCAATAATGTTCAACTGTTCATCGTAGTGATTTATTTCTTTGTTGGTCTCTTCCAGCCTAGTCTTTGAATCTGAACAAGGAACATGTATAATATACTCAACACATATAATTAAAATTATTGAAGGTCTACAAAACTCATATCAATTTTGTTTACCTTCATATTCTAAATGCGATTGCTCAGATAGTTTTAAAAGTTCAGCGAATTCGTCTGACACTTCCGTCGATGACTCGACATCCAAGTTCACATTACGTATGATTTGCGAAAACATATTAAATAACTTCAAATAAATAATAAAATATAATATAAACCTGGTCCGAAACCCAGTTCAAGTATTTTTTTATTATTAATCGTAATCGTATTCTTACTTAATTCTTATCCGTACTCCGTAGTCCAGAGTCCTACACTATTTAGTATTTTGTAAAAACTAAAAATCGGTTAACTTTAAAAAACCAAGGAAATCACCAATGTTGCCAACATTGCAAAACACAGTTTTTATTTTTCCGTGATGGTGGCCACGATTTAAGATAATATCGCAGACAATCAATGCTGTGATCTTTCATTATCTATGGCTGTAATCTTAAATCTTGATTGTGGTTTATCGCAATTATTTTGTAGATACTATTATCTATATCTGTTATTATATTTTTGATTTATCCTTAGAGCGAGTTTAGATGATAATAGTTTTGGTTTTTGATAATTCTCAAAAGAAATGTTCAGCAAATGTTTTTTTTATTTGGTAAAAACTAAAATGGTTTTCTGGAATCAGTAAAAACTACTAGATAGTAAGTGCAAACCTCAATTTTCAGCTACAGAGTAAGTCGCAGACKTTGCAGTATAGGCTGCAAGTTGCTTACAAGTTATTTATGCTATTAAACAGTTAAACAGGCTTAAATTCTAACATTAATTGTGATTTGTAAATTTATTTCTAGAAGTTTCATATATAGCTAGAACGGCATTAATAAATTATAATGTTTTTGACAAATGTGTTACTGAAAAAAGTAAAATCCAAGCACACTATGGTGCTAATGGAAAGCATGGTAAGCGGTCACAAGTACAACGTATTCAGGGAACGTTTAGCAGACAAACTAGAACTTGTACATTTCGACCCTTGGATTGGCCAAATGTCCGTCTACAAGGAAAGGAAAAAAATAAGAAGTGCAAATGTTAAGAGATTCACAGAGCCTACATAACAGTCAAGCAATTATTTGTATAAATTATTCATAGAATGTAGAATATTTTTAAGCATTTATATTATCAAATTCTAGAATATATAACCTTAATTTTACTAAAAGCCTTTTGATTTGAATTCCATGGATAAAAAAGCCTTCATGTTGGGATCCTGTATTTTGTCTAACACCATTTTTGAAACTTGCTTATTATCGCTGTTTGCTAGTATACTTCTGACTTTATCCGCGTACTCAATCCAGACGCAATTAGCACACCCAGACATACAACACGTCGTTGGTTCTTCAGGTAACTCTGGTGGTTGTTGTGAGCAGAATCTTCTAAGATATATTACACAGCTGCTTTTCACTGACCTCCATTGAGATATAAGGAACATCTTTTAATTCTGAAAGCATAAAACATATTTATATAGTTAAATATATCCCTATATAAGGTACTATAACACAGTTATGGGTCACATACAATTATTGTTTAAGGGCTTGTTTATATTAYGTGAATGATATTGATATATCTATTATAAGCTTTTGAAAAAATATATTCATTAACCTCGTGACATCTTATCAAATGTTGGCCTCAACCACCAAAAAGAATGCGTTACACAGCAAGTTTATTATATACAGGGTGATTCACTCATAGATTTAATAAATATATGTATTATAAATTTGAGTTTTTAACAATTATGCTCACACAGTCACCTTCCCATCCTATTAATATCCTTCAATAATACAGTTGTATACATTTTGACTTTTTAGTACCTACTTATACTTTAAAACCATATTTTCAGATACTTGATTTTTTATACTCCACGTGTGTTGATACAAACTTTTTTTTAAAGGTGGTTCATCTTTTTTACTGAAATAGTTAAACAGATGCACATAAATCAAAGTTCAAACAACCGGCTTCTGAATTATTTATCTTTTGTACTGTGATCCAGGTTTTAGGATAATATTCCTTAATGATAGTTTTAAATAATTCATGAAGTATATTATAATAATAATTACCTTCACATTTAAATAATCATAACTTATGGCCCTCTAAACCATAAAACACATTTTAACCTTTTTTTAATAATCTACAAACTTAATTTAAATACAAAAACTGTTTTATTGTTTATAATTGAATTGTATTATAAATTTCAATATAATATGTTATAAATATTATGTTTTAAAAATTATCTTCATTGTAAATATTTTTTATTTAAATTGATAATACTGAGCATGTATGTTTGATAAATAATAGTAAACATGTTGTTACATAGACACAATATAATATATCAGCAAAACACCTTTTTATTATAATATAAYCAAAACTAATAAATAATAACTATGAAAAAAAACAAATGCCAAACTTTTTAAAGTACCTACAGAAATATTAAAAATAAAACAATGAATCTGATATCAGGATAACATTTTTTATTAAAAAATACAACCTTATAATATGATTTATAAAGACTCATTTATGAAGTAACCTTGGCCATGGTAACAATCAGTCAATATTCTAAGTTCATGYCATACTTCTCAATTGTTATTTATGTTATATACATCATTACAATTTAAGATATACTATAATTAATCTCATATTTTCACGTTATAATATTTTCTACAATCAGACTAGTGATTTTCTATAAAATTTTGATTTGTTCAAATGCCAAACAAATAAAAATTATTTTCATGAGAAAATTGGAGCCCAAAAAATAGATTTCAAATAATACAAGTTTTAACATTGATAACAATTTAAATAATAATATTATCACATAACAAATCCATATAACATAATACGTGTAATATAATTATATTTATTAGTTGACAAAACAACAAAAAAGTAACAAAATATTTCTTATTAATTATTATAGTATGGTTAATCTGATTTATTATATTTTTGTATTCTAGTATAATCATCAAAATCGATATTTGGATACAAGAAAAAAGATAAGGTATATCATATTTGGTAAACAATTTTTAATATATTCTACAAAATAATAATTGCTATTTACATTTACATAATAACAGGATATATTAAATATTTTAAAGGCAAGTCTATTAAAAGTTCTATTAAAAGTAAATTGATGTATTATTTTGTTTACAAACAATTAATTATATCAGTGTACAAAAAATATAGTATAATATGAATATATATAATATGTAACAATAAATACTGTTTTATCATGGATTAAATTACAAATGTCAATACAGACACATTTATCATTATTATAATACATCTATCTGTTTTGACATGGTGTAGTGTGTTCACTTCAAAAACAGTTACAATTTATTATATGCTTTGTTTTATTTAAATAAGGTTAAAGATATACAGATAGATGTCAAGACTAAATTACTTGACTAGATGTCAAGAATAAAATTCTAGCAATGTTTATAATAAAAAATGTTATTTACAAAGACAACACAATTTAGTAGGTCATATTCATTCATTAAAATAAAATACATAGGTAGAAAATAAATCAGTTACCTAATAAAAAGGAAAAATGCTTAAAAAAATCACAGTAAGCTTTAGACAACGCTGAAAGCTTTGAGGTAATTTCATGTACTATTGTACTATTTTCATTGTAATATTGTATGTTGGTATTCTTCAAATCACCTGAATTCATAGATCTGAGTACTGTGTTCTGGGACATGGGTCAAGCATAATGTTTGATACCTAATAATTTAAACATTTATTTATATAAGAAAAATAAAATAAAAAGCAAATCAATGTCTCACCATTCAGAACTTCGATGATAATAATACCCTTCAATGGAGGAAGTTGATTTCTGAAAACATATGTAATAGAAACCAGCAAATGACGCACCACTAATATCACGTATTGTGTGATCGGGTACTAGGAAATGTTCCTTCCATCGCATAAAAACATGATCAGCATTTTTTAGTTTTTCATAATCAAATGCATCCGAATTGAACGTCTTGGCATACTGACAAAATGCAGCAAATTTGTTCTGTGAAATGAAAGAATTATGTTAATATGATAATATAGTATGCGGCAATGACAGGTACAAACGCTACAAACCCAATGTTTCTTATCAACTTCTTCGTCAGCATCCCACTTTCTCGTCAAAAAAGGACATTTTTTGTTAATGATTTCTCCATCAAAATAGGTGGTCAAATTGGGAAACTCTTCAGTGAGACCTTTAATTTTTAGATAACCGCACAGATAACCGTTTTGCTCGTCGACATACTAGAAAATGCAATGTTATGCGTATTGCGTTAACATTGATGACATTTGCACAAAACGGATAAGTGCTATTTTGTGTAGTATAATAATAATAATAATAATAATAATAATAACAACAACAACAACAATTATAGGAAGGTACATCAAGTGTCTGAGACGAAGATTATGAACATAATGGCCTACATACCTGCAGTACGACTTCCACCTCGTAGCTGTTGCCTTTGGACCTCTGGAAACCTTGAAATTTCGATCCGCTATACAGTATAGACCCGGTGACCCCTAGTTGCTTCGAGTTTGCCGGAGGTCTGGGCGTTATGTCCACTTTGACGGGCATACCTAGCGCCGAGGGATCCTGCACACACGAGTCGGACAATATTATTTATTTGCCTGTTGATATCCGGTCTCGGGGACACTCGCTGTTTGTTTTAAATTGCGATCGTTGTTATTATTGTTTTACGCGCGTCATTGTGTGAGAAAAATATTCGAAAATCCGTGAGCCGCGGCGTCAGCGGCGATGATCTGGGGGCGAGCGCGCGCGCGCGCGTCAAGACGGGCGCACCGAGGTGGGGCCCGGTGGCGGGAGAGCGCGGAAATCATAAGTCGTGTGGGAAAACGACAAGGACGTCTGGCCCGATAACAGAAGCATCGTAATCGCGAAACGGTAGCGACTGGCGATCGTTCGGGCTAATGTAATATTGAATGTTATGACAATAATAATAACGAATAATAAGGTCATTCGGATTGTCCGAATGACGACGGCGATAATAACAACAATATTATTAGATATTAATGTGTTGCACGTACCTGATGTCGAGTGTTTGTTACGGACGATCACGACGCCACGGGTACGAAAGTACGAGACGATGGATAACTCATAAAATATGACATAAGTATTAAAATATATTATATTATTATGTTGTGTAATAATAATATTAAACACAGCGTCGCCGCAGTCAGCGGACCGCGCCGTGCTGGCGGGGTACAAAGCACACACCCGCGATAACAAAAGTACAAACTTTGTGGATTGTTTTTATTTTCCTCTAGCGTAAACACCGGCCAGTTAACGATCCACTATTTCCAAACGTCATTACGCCGTCGCCGGTGCACTCGCGTCATATTATTACTTTACACCCGTCACGATTATATTATTTTGCGGGAATCATATCTATAGTGTTCACGATTGTATAGACCTAGAATGCCTTATTGAAATAACATCAAGGCTCTCTAATTATAACTCTCATTAGACCATCCTTGATTGGCTGCCTACATTACTATAATATTATTATGCGTCCGAATTTAATTCACAGTTCGTTCTGTGTGTATATGTAAGCATAAGCGTATGGCCAGACATTTAAATAGCACGGGGTGCAAGCTTTAGCTTTTTATGCAGCCACCGTACGGAGGCGGATTGGGGACTTTGCCTGTATACAAAAGTATACCGACCCACTTACTAATTTATAGGTACCAAATATTGAATTTTAGCCAACATAATATTATGCATTATTATTTTAACGTAATTACAATTTTTTTTCACATTTAGCGAGATATGCACTTTGTAGTTTGTAAAACTTTATTAGTATTCATCACGA